GCCAGAAGTGTAGAATCCCAGGCAGCAGCTCAGATCCACTAGTGAGAATCTTTATTGTAATAAATGCCATGCTCTAAAGTTCAAAGAGCATTATTCTAAAGACTTGACGTCAAGGTTTATTCAAGTTGTGACATGTACGTACAGTTTGACAATGCCTGCATGGGGGTTTCTGTTTTTTACACAGAAAGATAATGTATTAATGAAGAACCTTACATATCTTTTTTTGAGACTTATAGTCTTTTTTATTGATTTTTATTGAGCTCTACATTTTTCTCTGTTTCCCTCCCTGCCTCTCCCCTCCCTACTATAACCCTCCCCCAAGGTCCCCATGCTCCCAATTACTCAGGAGATCTTGTCTTTTTCTAATTTCCATGTATATATCTCTCTTGTACGTCTCTCTATGTAAGTCTCTATGTAAGATCTCTATGTAAGTCTCTCTTAGTGTCCTCATTGTTGTCTAAGTTCTCTGGGATGGTGACTTGTAGACTGGTTTTCTTTGCTTTATGTTTAAAAACCACCTATGAGTGAGTACATGTGATAATTGTTTTTCTGTCTCAGTTACCTCACTCAAAATAATGTTTTCAAGCTCCATCCGTTTTCCTGCAAAATTGAAGATGTCATTTTTTTCGGCTGTGTAGTACTCCATTGTGTAAATGAACCACATTTTCCTTATCCATTCTTTGATCGAGAAGCACTTAGGTTGTTTCCAGGTTCTGGCTATAGCAAACAATGCTGCTATGAACATAGTTGAGCACATATCTTTGTGGCACGATTGGGCATCCTTTGGATAAATACCCAAAAGTGGTATTACTGGGTCTTGATACAGGTGAAGGACTTTTATGAACTGAGGCAGGAGTTGAGTTGGTAGAATGCCTACCCAAGATGTACAAAGCCTGCAGTTCGATCACCAGCACCACATGCACCAAGAATGGTGGGAACACATGTAATACTAGCACTTGGAAGGACCAGAAGTTCAAGGTCATCTTGACTACGTATAAAGTTTGGAAATGGTCTACTGCACGACATGAGAAGCTGTCTAAAAAAAGACATACGCTTAGAAGTATGATAGTGGAAAATAAATTATATAAATATTGAATTTTATAAAGTCAAATTATTTTTAGTATACTTTTTCATATACCCAACAGAGTATGCAAAAGTTCTTACTACATCATAACTTCTCTCATATCAAGTATTGTCAGATTCCTTGATTTTCACCCACTTAATGGAGAATAACTGATATCTTAATTCATATTTTTCCAGACTTACTAATAAGCTTGACAATTTTAATTGTTTATATATGTTTATATTTTCTATCCCATAGAAAGTTCATTACTTTATTTTGCCAGCTTTTAAATTGAGTTATTTGAATGGTTTTCTAACCAATGTATAGCTTTTTTATGTTAAAAGATATGTATATTTTCAACTGCACACATTTTAAATAATGCCTGCTAATATATATTTTGTCTTTTCATTTTCATCATGGTGACTAACGATCAAGAGAAATTCTAACCTGTTCTGTCATAAGTTGTCATTCCTATTTTAGTTAGTGATTTTTGTCCTTTTCAAGAGTGATTTCTTTGCCCTAAGGTCTAAAATATATTCTCCCACATTTTCTTCTAGCGATGTTAAAGTTCTGCTTTCTTGTTAAAGTCCTTAATCCATCTGGAATTGATTTTGTGCTCTTTGTGCAGAAGGGATCTGCTGTCATTTCTTTTGTGTGGAGAATCAATTGTCCCAGAACTGTTATTGAATAGTCCCCCTTCGCTTCCAGTTGATCTCAAAGCCTCTTGGGTCATGTATATTCATCAGTTTGTTCCTGGCTCTCTGTCTTGTTCCATTGGACAAATCGTCTCTCCTAGCACCAATGCCACAGAGTTTTAATCACTACAACTTTATAATAAATCTTCATGTCTGGTAGGGCAAGGCCTTCCAATTTATTTTTCTCTTTTAGTGGTTTGGCTATTTGGGCCCTTTAACTTCCATATAAATTATAAAATCAATGTGTCATGTTACACTCAAAATACTGTTCTGATTTTTATTAGAATTGCATTAAAAATCAATTTTGGAAGAATTGATATATTTCTAGTATTGAGTGCTTCTTTCTGTGAGCATTGAACATTCAAGTGTTTCAATGCCATTCTACAGCCTCTCTCTCCACAAAGTTCTTACATGTGTTTGCTTATACTGACACCCATGTGTATTTTCTTTGTTTATTAACACATTGATTCCAGTTTTGTATATTACATACAGAAACATATAAATTTCTTGGGTGGTCACTTAGATAAACTGTCTCATTATTTCCAATAATTTTAAGAAATTACAAGCAATTCATTTATATGAAAAATAAGTTTATTTCTAGTTTCCAGCCTATATGTATTATAGAGGATGCTAACTTCACTAAATGCATATCATATCATATCATCTCTTTCTCACTTTTAGTAAGAGAACACCATGAATTTTAGCTCATGCATTATTGACTTTTTTCATCACAGTGATAAAATATTTGATAGTATTTTGTGCTGAGTCCTTGAAGCAGCTCCAGGGACATAGACCTGATTCAGGGCAGCAGGGTAATGAAGAAAGACAGACAGACAGACACATTAAAAAAAAAAAAAGATGGGGTTGGGTAGTCTGAGCTCTTGGGTGGAGAAACCTCAGTACCCAGAAGCTCAATGTTTATAATATAGAGTTTAACAGGGAAGTGGGATTATTGCATACAGCTGAGTAAGGAGGCAGAGTTATTAAGATAAACAAGAAGGCAGGGTTTATGGGACACAGCTGGAGCAAGGAGAAAAGTCTAGCTAATCGTGGTAGGAGTACTCTCTTTAGAGGAGCAGTCTTCAGGCAGGGAATGTCTGGCGGGAGAAAACAACAGACATGTTCTGCACACACCATTGACACCTACACTGGATGGAAACGGAAGGCTTTCCATTTCCCTCTGGATCTGAGGCTACAATCATTGCCATGCCTGTGCCCATTACATCAGCACAAGCGAAACTCAGTGCAGTGTCTATAAGTCCCACTCTTATGGAGAAGAAAGGAAAGGCAGAGATAGGAGAATCCCTGGAAGGTGGTGGGCCAAATATCCTGATATCATATAGCAGAAAACCAAAAGGAGACCTCATCTCAAGTTGGAAGGCAAGGACTGATACCTGATGCTGTCCTATCTGTAACTGGCATATGGCACATAGACATGCTAGTTACACATGAATTCATACACACCCAAAGAGAAAAAAAGACCAGGAGAGGGAGAGGAGAGGAGAAAGAAGGGGAGATGAGAGAGAGGGGAGGAGAGGGGAGGGGAGGGGAGGGAGGGGGGAGAGGGAGGAGAGAGATTTCACTGATCTGATTACAGAAACTCCAAAATCCAAGAAACTCAATAAACCACAAGCAAAAGAAACTTGGAGAAAACTTAGAGAAATCTGTACATCAGTGAAGCTATGCCATTTATTTTATATAGAGGAGTGAAGGTAAGGATAATACTGGAGCCTTAGAAGAAATAAATAAAAGCCAAGAAATAGCAACACACTACTTTTAAAGTCCTAAAATCTAAAAACAGACAAAAATTCCTTCCATCCATAATTCCATACCTAGAACTCTATTTTCCCAAAGCCAAATACTGTATCAGGTATACTCATTTGTTTTCCATTGCTGTAATAAAGACCATGACCAAGAGCTTCTTGAGAAAGAAAGGACTTGCTATATCTAACAACTCCCAAATGCTTCCCATCACTGAGGGAAGCCAAGGTAGCAGGAAATGAAGGTAAGCCATGGAGGAGTCATGCTAATCTGCTTGCTTAGACAGCTTTCATAGACTACCCAGGACCACCTGCCAATCATCAATCATCCATCAAGAAAATCCCCCAGAGACCTGCCCGCAGGCTAATCTGAGAGAAGCAAGTCCACAACTGTGACTCCCTCTTCCCAGTTGACTCTAGCCAGTGTCAAGTTGAGGGGGTGGGGAACTAACTCAACATAAGGCATAGAAAAAGCAGAAGATAACACTTCCAGCAAAAGAATTCTACAAAAAAAAAAAGTTAAGTCCTCTAGACAGAAAAAACAATACCAAAATAAGACAAGTCATAGAGTCTTGCGGTGTCACCAGCCTCAGTAAGCGTACTCAGAAATGGAATGCTTGTCTTTATTGCTCAAATCTTTTTAAAGTAAAGTGATGTAATAGAGTCTAGTTATTTCAAAATGAGTTGAATTGAATATATAACAATAATATGTTAGTATGTTACTCAGAAATAAAGAAATGAATATACACTGTTGCAATATTACTAGAGTATATATAAAGTGTGCTGTAGTGTTTGATAGAAAATCATATTAAATTAAAATAGATGCTATAAATCTTAAAAAAGAATTGTGTGTGTGTGTGTGTGTGTGTGTGTATCAAATGGAATGACAAAATAAAAAACACAGTGTTAATAAAATTGCAATTTCGGTAATTTTGCTTAAGAGCACTGGCTACTCTTCCAGAGGCTCTGAGTTCAATTCCTAGCAACCACATGGCAACTCGGAACCATCTAAAATGGGCTCTGATGCCCTCCCTCTTCTGGCTTGCAGACATACATGCAGATAGAGCACTCACACACAAAACACATAAATAAATATAATTTTAGAAGTTGAAATTTAACCAAGAAAAAAACTTAAAGAGGAAGGGGAAGCAGCATAGATGACACAAGCAAAAAGCAACTAGCAAAGTCATGGCTTTAAATTAAGTAATCACATATGTACTTATGACACGCTTAAGTAATTAAACACTTTATCTAAAAGATGTTGACATATGGGGGGAGGGGCCTTAAACTATCTTCAAGGAACTCTATATTTTACTCAAATCTGAAAAGAGGAACTATGCGGTATATATACTGTATACCATTCTGAACAAAAGAAATCTTGGATGTAATTAGAAAATTATCTCCATAGTCAATTTGCATTCAGGCAGAGCATCATAAAGAATCGTGAGAGATAACTGAAAAGCAGAGGTTTCCCAGCTCATTTGTAAAAGAATTGCTGTCACATCCAAATAAAAAGTCGGAACGTGAAAACACATGGGAAACCATTTATTTTAAAATATGTGCATGTTTTTTCCTTTTCTTGCATTAATTGAATATTCTAATAATACTGTATTTTAGATTTTATTATTTTACACACATGTACATTGACTCTTCATAAACATTCTTCTGTTCTGTCCTGGTAAATTTTTTGTCAGTGTGACAATATACATAGTCATCTGGGAAGTTCAGTTGAGAAAATGCCTCCCTCATGTGTGGCATACATCTCCAGATAGACTGCTGTCCAGGATCCATCAGATATACTATGAAGATGGGTCTGCGGACAAAGCTCTTTTCATACTGGGAAGCATCCCTGGGACTTGGGGGATACCTTTCCCGAATCCTAGGGTTATCTGCCCCTCGCTGCCTAACTGTGGATGATAATGCTGTTGTGTTCAACTTTATTTTATTTTTGTACAAATAGTAGATATTGAATCTCAAGATGCATGGGGCTGGAGTGGTTCCAGATAGTTTAAATGTATATAGCTGAGTTCTTCTTCTGTTGTACCATGACTGATAGAACTCTTACACTGAAAGAAACTGGAGAAACAGAATCTTAATTAGTTTGTGATTTTTTTTTCTGGAGCTTCTGAAGTTACTATTTTAAACTGATAAGGTTTAAAGACATTGATAACTTTATTATAATAAAGAGGGCACTGATAACTCTTGGCATACTGTGGAATAGAAATGAATTAAATAGTTCAGGCAAACTCAAAGGAATGAATAGGCAATAGAGGTGGGGGAGGTGAAGGAAGAAAATGTTTTTTTGTTTGTTTATTTTTTGTTGCTATTTTGTATTATCTGCTCTTGGTTTTGTCTGTGTTTTTGTTTGTTTAATATTCTTATTTGTATTTTTATTAATTCAATTTTTTAGATTTTTATTTTATTTTTAAATTTTCCTTTGGGGGATGCTACAAGGGTAAAGGGTAGATACGGGGGGACTGAAAGATGAGTGGGATTGAGATACATGATGTGAAATTCCAAAAGAATCAATAAAAAATCATGTTAAAAGTATTCTAGGAAAAATGGCACACACCCATAATCCAAGAACCAGGAAGACTGAGGCAGGCTGATTGAGATGTTGAAGCCTATATATATAGAGAGAGGGAGGCTCAATGACAGCCTGAGCTATGGAGCAAGTGTCCATTTCATTAAAATAAATAAATAAATACAAGGAAAGAAGTGTATTAAATATCCCTATTGGATATTTCTAACCCAAATACAGTGAGACCACATAATGACATTCATGTAAATGACTGACCTCATTTTCAATGGGGTCTCATAAGCTTTTATCTCCTAATGAAAACACAGCTATCATGGTGGTGGAAGCACAGTGTATGTTTTTTGAACAACGAGCAAAAACAAAACAAAAAGTACCAATGACATATTATCAGACTCTACCCTATTATTAGGTGGTGCATGTACATGGTTATAAAAGCAAGGTCCTGAATGCCTTTGTATTTGATATTTAAACATTTTAGTTCAACTATCTGGTATAATGAAACTGTTACTAATAAGAAAAAGAAAAATGACCTTGAGCCCCAGTATTGAAATTCCCAGCTCAAGCTGATATAAATAAGAGAAAATGTCTATGTCATCTTGGAAAGAAATCCTATCACCTATAGGAACACAGCTGAGATTTCTAAAATCCAAACTCAGAGCCTAACTGGTTTTTTGGATGAATTAGAGCCTGTATTAACTTTTGAACTTCGCAGAGTTCATCCTTAGGAACAAACAAAACAATTTTAGAACTACTATTGGATCACATCAGAGTGGCTATCATCAGGAAAACAGATCCAGTGAGCGTGATGTGAATTCAGGGAAGGAGGAACCCTTTCAACATGGCTGGGAGGAATGTAAACTGGTACAGCCACCATGGAAATCAGCAAAAAGCTCCTACAATAATACCACCACATTGTTCAACCACATCACTTCTGGGTAATCAACAAAGGACTGTAAGCCAGCTCACTAAGCAAACCATTGCATGTGCATATTGCTACAGGATTCAGAACAGCCAGGATATAGCCAGCCTAGATCCTAGCCAATGAAAAAGTGAATAAAGAAAATGGGAGATATATATATATATATCTCCCATTTTCTTTATATCATATATATATATATATCCCATTTTATATATATATGCAATTAGGTAGCCATAAAATTAAATTATACCAGTTTCAAAAAAAAGTATGGAATTGGACACTGTCATGTAAGGAGAACTAAACCACACTTAGACAAACACTACATTTTTTCCTATGCAGAAGAATACACTTTTATTCAAGTGACTATGCACTGGTGGAACAGAAGTACCCCAGCATGCTTAGGACCATTGATAACTTAGTCTGACCTGAAACTCATCCAGGAGATAACAATTGCCATTTGTCCTGCCAGCCATAGTAGAGACATATAGACCTGAAGGTATATATCTGGTGTATCTTGCTGTGTTATTTTTTTTCCTGCTAGTTCTGGAATGCAGGATTATTAAAGTAGACACTCTTGGCCTCTAGCAGAATTCCACACTGCTTCCCTCACCAGTGGAGTGAGGGCTGTTACAGAAGAAAAGGACAAATGAGATCCCTAGCAATGACGATGTCAGGAAAGTAGGAAGTCAAAACAAGTTTGTGTCTGTGGAGGGACTTCTGGGATTGGTGCCACTTCAAGGTCTTGAAAGTTGGAAGGCTGGTGAAGTCCACCACATTGCCATTCAACTCCTATGTTGAAAAGTTGGAAACAGATGGGTTTTGAAAATGCAATGGGATATCATAAAATCTTAAACAGGTGGTGATTCCACTGCACCTGCTGTTCCAGATGTGATTTCATTGTCGGAACAAACTGACATATACGCTGCCACCTGGCATGCAGCTATTGAGGTAGAAAATACTTTTGTCTCTGTAGCTGTTACTAAAGCCCAGCAGGACTCAGTTGCTCTCTCGTGGCAATACAATGGCGCCAGTCTCGTTTCAGGAATATATCACCTCTCATGCCTTAGGTCCACAGAGATTCTAATCACTGGATATTTTTGCAAGAAATCCACAGGTCCATCTCATCAAAGGTATTGGCGGCATTGTGTTGACTAAACCTAGTAGGCTACAAGTGGTAACTAGTGTAAACTGCGTGCTAGGTGGTAGGATAAAATCAATGACAAAATTTGAAGAGTCTTTCACAGATGTGATATTGTGGTATGTGTCAACATGTCTCTAGATATCATGGGCACAATGCATAGTGGCCTTCTTTGGGCTAAAAAGGAAACATGTTATTCATCTAAGATGTCACCTAAGTCTTTTTATAGAATCATCCAAGCAGCTTTTAATTTTGAGTGATGCTTAGAAGAGAAGGCTCACCAGCTATCCAGGATGATGCCTAAGCTGCTGAAACTCTTGGATCAAATCATCCATTTGCTCTAATGGTTGTTAAAGAGTCAGCCAAATGCAAGTATTCTCTGGAACCTCTGGATGGCCCTTACATCCATTACATTACAGAGTAGACCTTTGGACTATAGAGCAAATCGTTAACATCGCAAGCAGACAACTACTTTCCTTTTAAGAAACAGCCTTTGGGTCGATAGTGTGACTTAATAAACCTTGTTCTACCTAAAACCTGGACAGCCCCAGCAGGCTGGGCATGTACAACATGGGCAAGAGCACTTGGTTGTCAGATGAACATATATACAGGAATGGGCCCAAATATGTGAAGCAGCTGCCTATGTATTTCTAGTCACTCTCTTGTTACATCCCCTTCTCAACTTTCCCCAGTCTGCACCTATGACATCATATGGTATTCCCTACAATCAGATGGTGAAATGGAAGAAGAGACAACTCATGTTTGGTTCACAGATGGTAATGCACAAGCATCATGCAGAAATGGACAAGGGAAGCATTGCAGTTTCTCTATGGGACACTGCAGAAAAATGCAAGGGACGTGTAGCCTTGAAGCAGTACACTGATCACTCTCTTTACTTGGGAAGAGAACAGACATGTAACTATATAAGAATCCTGTGGCTCTGACCAATTGTTTGACTAGATGTTCAGGGCTTCAAACGAACATGGTCAGAACAAGGCATCAAAGAGGTCTGAGAAGAAATATTGTAAAGTTTTGTTATAAAGCGAGCCACACACTGTTGGAGAGAATATTAACAAGGCACTTGTATCAGAAATTAAGACTTTAAGAATCTAATAATAATAAAACAAATAAATCAATTTTAAATTTAAATTTAAAAATTAAATTTAAAAATTAAATTAAAAAAATTTAAATTGGGTAAATATTTTAACACACTCTGTCTACACATACACACACATTTAAAAATTAAATTTAAAAATTAAATTTAAAAAAATTTAAATTGGGTAAATATATTTTATTTATATTTATATATATTTAAATATATTACACTTTGTCTACACTAAGAGAGAGAGAGAGAGAGAGAAACAAGCACATTAAAAGATGTTCACCTGTTATTTTCTTTCTTAATTGTTGCTGCCTTTTAAGTTATGGCTCTCTGAGTCAGCAACTGCAACTCCTCCACTACCAGCAGTGGTTAGGCCACAAGAGCCACAGCCTGTGGAAATTCTGCTCCTGAAGGCCCTGACTCTTCAAAGCTACAACAGGAACTTATTTAAATCTCTATCCCTCTAAAAAGCTCAAGATTCAAAGGTTGAGTACCCTGCTCCCCAAAGAGGCTGAACAGCAGGCAGGTCACCTCCTTGAATCTCCCAAGAAGTTCTCCTTCTTCTGCTGGTGTACAAAAGAGTTCCACAATAGCCTGAAATAGAGTATAACAAAGGTTTATTTATTCAGCGATAAACTCACAGAAAGAGTAGCAATTCACAGTCCTCTACAAGCGCTGGGAACTAGAATTGAATCCAATAGCCAAGAGGCTTGTGCACACTTTCATCTGCATTTACAGTACATGAGACCATGTCCAATGTGGGCTGATATCTTAAAGGCTATTGGCTGAAGGAGTTCCCACAGCACCTTCCCCTTTTGTCTAAATAAGAGAGTTCTAAGTTTAATACAAAACTATATACAATAAGGACAAATATCAAGTATTGTCCAGGGAAAAGAAGAGTCAAAACATACATAAATATTAGAATTACAACCAGCATAAACAACATCAAACAAGAAACATATGCTAAATGTTTCAACAATTATCCTATCCTAAGAAGTCTAAGTCTTATATTGAAAATGACTTGGCTAAGTCATGAAAGGAAAGTAATAATGACTATCTAGTCTTCAAACCCATCAAAGACCTGAGAAGGGAAATAATATTTCTTGAGTAAACAGAAGTGCAATCAAGCAACTTCCAACCGGTACAAGAAACAACAGAGACAACAAGCTGACTGGGCAGTCACCCAAAATCTCATTTGCAGTGGTGGGGTAACCAACTTTGGCTAAGGCCAAGAGTAACTGACAGACCATTTTCAGAGGCAGGAAAATTTGAAAAACCGTCTTACCCTGTCTTGGCAAGGGTTGGCCGTCTTTTTGCTTGTATGCTACGTGCCCAGTCTAGACACCATGCATTTTGTCAATAGTTGAGGGAGGGGCAGTTCTTTGCCCAAAGGCTAGTTTTGCCGAGAAGGAAACAAGCTCCAAGTGGAGAGTCTTGGGTGCCCAACATTCTCTTGGGATAAGATTGGTGCTTCCAAGAGTAATTGTGTCTCACGTCAACAGAATCCTAAATTATTTAAATGCCATATTCTAAAATTCTTTGAAGTGATTGAAGATTAATTATCTATGTGGAATATAATCTTTATGCATCTAAAGAACCTGATTAGTCTAACTATAAGTATGACAAGCATGGATGACTATTGACCTGTAATTCTTAATACTATATAGCTTAAAGACTAAGGCTTCGTATTAAAAAATTAAACAATCTTTAAACAAATGAACAGTGAATAAGGACATTGACCTCAAAATGTTAATAATAAATAAGTATCTTGATCAAAGGTAGAAATGTGTAGTGAAATATGATACATATATCCTAAAATTGCATTAATATACAAAATATCTTAAGCAGAGTAAAAACATGCATGCATATAATATAACTTTGCATAGGCACACAAATATTATAAACAGAAATAAGAGTATGTTCAACATAACAAATGTAATTTGAATTTGTATCAATATACAAGAATCTATGCCAATGTAAATTATCAATAAATAGATCACAAGTAATAATTGAGTCTACCATTATCCCATCCCATGCAATCCCCCCCTTTTTTTATCAAAAGAGATCTTAGAGCTTACTTTATTTCCACTCCCATCCCCATATCAGTTATAACTAACCTTTAATACTGTTCCCAGTCCTGAGGACAAACTTTGGTTTATTTTTTGTTTTGTTTTGTTTGTTGTTTTCTAGAATTACTTCCAGTATGGTGGGGGCAATGTTATTTCTGTGGTATCCTGTAAAAACTAAAATGATGGTTAAGTTTCAAGATTACTGTCTGATAAAATTGCAGAAAGTCTTTGAGTTGTCAGTTGGGTTTTTCTGAAGTTCTTATTTAGAAGTTCTGGCCAGAACATTGTAAGAAGGTACACCTCAGCTGGCCAAGTTGGAATCACCTTGAGTAGTTTGTAACCTATTGTAGAAGGCTATTTATTTGTTTCCTGGACACCCAGACTCCTGAAATAACCACAAAAAACTGTATTCATTAAATCACGGCTTGGCCCTTTAGCTCTAGCTTCTTATTGGCTGACTCTTACATATTAATTTAACCATTTCTATTCATCTGTGTATCACCACAAGGCTGTGGCTTACTGGGTAAAATTTCAGCATCTGTCTCCAGTGGGGCTACATGGCTTCTTTCTGACTCCACCTTCTTTCTCCCAGCATTCAGTTTAGTTTTCCCCATCTAGCTCTACTCTTCTGAGCCACTGGCTGAAACAGATTCTTTATTAACAAATGGTATTCACAGCATACAGAGAGGAATCCCACATCACCTCCCCTTTTCTGTTTAAATATCAAGGAAGGTTTTAACTTTAACATAGTAAAATTACATTAAAAAGTTATCAAGCAAGAATTACAGTTACAATATTTATATTTACTTTATTTTTATCATAACTAAGGAAAACTATAACTATAGCTATCTATTCTTCAATTCCATCAAAGACTCCAGAAGCATATAAAATTACCTAAGTAAATAGGAAATACATTGTAAACAACTTCCAAGAGACTTCTTGCTGCCTAGATAGTCACCCAAAGCTTTTCTGTACTATTGGGCCATCAATCTTCAACCTACAGGCCCATAGTATCCAGCAGACTTTCCCATGAAGCAGAAAGTTTCAATGACAGTTCCACCTATATTGGCAATTTGTCAGTGACTTTCCTCTGTGTCCTACAAAATGCCTGGCATACTCTTTCATGAAACAAGAATCCCAAAAGACCTTCTTACTTTCTTCAGGCAAGTTCAGTCGTCATTTTTCTGTGGGCCTTGCATGTCTAGCTCATGCCTTGCAGTCCAGGCAAGAGTAGTTTCTTTCCCAAAAGGTCAGCAAACTTCATAAGGAACCTCTTTGATGCCCATCTTCCTCTTGAAGTAGTTTGGTCCTGCCAGGAGCAGATGTGCCTCACTGTCATGAAAAGTCCCAAGTTCTTAAAATACTTTAAATGCCATATTCCGTAATCTTTGAAAGGTTTGAAGATTATCTATTTAACTGAAATATATCTCTCTATATATCTAGAAAACCTAACATAATAACAAGTTTGACTATTATAGATGATTATCTATTAACCTATATTTCTTAATTATACGTTACATTTCTAAGCGAGCTGCCAAACACAGTACCTTAATCAAGAGCAGAAATATACATGTAACACAATTGACCTTAAATTTGTATCAATAAACCAAGATCCATACCAATGTAAAGTATCCATCTCTATGGCATATCCCCTTTTAAATGTAAGCAAACATTTATAGACAATTATTTAGGGAATTTGGGCATAGTTCTCTCCAAACTGCTTCCTGTTTTTTGTTGGGCAAAGTACTTTTTGGGGCGTTAACTTTTCAGGGTGTCTTGGTCCATTAAACCACATTTGTCTAGAAGGATTTCACAGGTTCTTATCCTCTGTGGAAACAAAAGAGAACCTCTTTTCCAAAGCAACAAATCCTTATACTTAAATTTTGAAGACAAGATACTTTTAACTTAGCAGTCCATAAAATGAAATGTCTCTCTGTACTTAGCTCCTTCACAGTAAAAAAAAAAAATTAAAGAAAATACAATAATATACATAATCCAAACTCTCTGTATATATTTCATCTTTACATGGCTTATTTGTTTTTATTCCATTACTTTTTAATATTTATTTTATTATCTTTACTCCTTTAATTTATAACTGTATTCTGTCTCTTTAAAGACTTTTTGTTTTTTTCTTAAACCATCTATTTATTTTTATAACTCTCTATACTTTTTTCTTCTCTCACACAAGCCTACATACTTTTATACAACACTGTGACTCGTTTAGAGTTCTTTTATGTCTGAATCTGTCCTATCGTGTATCTGTAAATTTTTTCTGTCCAGGGGTGTTTTTTAAAATGCTAAGTGTTTCTAATGCTGCTTTGCCTTTTGGCTCCACCTAGTCCAACATGGCAGGGCAGAGATCTGTTTAGCATGAGCCACGCTCACAGTCCCATTTTCAGGCACACAGTGGGTCTATGTTTCCATTAAGCAAGTTGTAGCACTCTTCTCTCGAATACTATTTAAATGCTCGACCTCCTGAAAGAGCCAGAGTTCTTGCTAGCAGCACAGCCCAGGAAGCTTCTGTTTTGAAATGATGTAGTTTTTGCTGCTATTGTTGAGTTTGGAAACCCTCTCTTAAAAGAATTGTGCCTTTAGCAAATAGAGCCCACCAGAGAAAATGCTTAACTTTATTTTTTGTGTCTAGAATTCCTTTCCAAGCCCCCTCAGGTTATACATGGATTTAGTCAGTCCCACGTTGGTACAACAATTAGTTGTAGGAGTCTGCACATTTGTTTCCTGGCCACCCAGACTCCTGAAATAGAGAAACTGTATTAATTAAATCACTGCTTGGTCTGTTAGCTCTAGCTTCTTATTGTCTAAATTTTCCATATTAATTTAATGCATTTCTATTAATCTATGTATTGCTATGAGGCTGTGGCTTACTGGGTAAAGTTCTGGCATCTGTCTCTGATGGAGCTACATGGCTTCTCTCTGACACTACCTTTTTTCTCCCAGCATTCAGTTTAGTTTTCCCTGCCGAGCTCTTCTCTGCTAATTCACTGGCTAAAAAAGATTCTTTATTAATCAATGGTATTCACAGCATACAGATGGGGAATCCTACATCAGTAACCCAAAACCCATCTTAAAGTGGTGTTATCAGCATAACCAGGTGGAATCGTTGCTGTAGAGCCCCAACTTCTTTCTGGACACTTCAAAGATTACTACAGAAAAATTTATTGTTCATTGTGGAAAACTTAAACATTATTCATAAAGACATATAGTCAGTGAAAAGTACCATAAAGACAAAAATAGGTCTGGGGAGAAGTAAAATTTTTTGAAAGCAGAGTTTTGATAATAGTAGTACCTAAATTTTATCTTCCTTCTCTCCCACACTATGTGACTCCTGATACAAGACAGAAACTTCGAATTTTTTAAACAACATTCCTTGATTTATAGAAGATAGCCACTGTCCAACTTCAAAGCCAGCTTTGATTTTTTTATGTGAGTCACAACTATCATTATACTGTGAAGTAGAAAGATATTTATGTTTAGAGAGTTAAATTTTACCCTACAGAGGATATTGGTACCATGAGTCAGATTTCTCTTTGCTTGGAGATTCTTTCTAAATAGCTATACTTTCATCTTTAGGCATCTGGTTGTCCAAGGTCTCTTGACTTTTTAAAGATGGGTATTTTCCTGCAAAGACAAGAACAGAACTCTGCCTTAACTTTTATGAGGTTTCCTTACAACCTGTAGGACTGTCACCTCTGTGGATGAGCTGTAATTTCTCCTTATCAAAAGGTTTTTCCTTTTCAAACTGAATCTTGATTAATTTTGATGATATCCATGGCTTTTCTTCTCCTGTGGAAACAAGATAAAAACCCTTTCCCCAACAAAGCACATCTCCTGGTTTCCATCCTGAGGTCAACACATCCTTGAAATACACTGGCTAATTTAATTCAGCAGGTTTTTTTTTAATTATCCATTGTCTCTCTGCTACTGTTGTTCCTTTCTCATTAGCATTAAGAAAATTCAAGGTTAATAAAGCATTATGCAATGTATTTCTGGGGGTATTTTTTATTCTTTTCTGTTTGTTTAACATATCCTTTATAGTTCAATTTGGTCTTTCTATAACTGCCTGTAGGGTTGTGTGGCATACCTGTGTTATGTTTTATATTATAACAAACAAAAAACTGTTTCATTTTCTTAGAAACATATGCTGGACCATTGTCTGTCTTTATTTGTGCAGGTATACACATGATGACCATAACTTCTAGTAAATTTGTGAATACCAAATCAGCGTTTTCTGAACTCAAGGCAGTTGCCCGCTGAAAATCTTAATAAGTGTCAATGTTGTGGTGTACATATTTCAATTTTCCAAATTCTACAAAGTGGAACATATACATCTGCCATATTTCATTCTTTTGGGTACCCTTTGGGCTACATTCTGTAAGTAGTGGTTTTATATATGCTTATGCAAAAGTTATATAAAGAACAAGTAGGACATCTCCTTATAATCTCCTTAGCTTGTTGCCAAATAATAGAAAAGTCCTTTTTAAACCTTTGCTATTAGCATGATGTTTTTATAAAATTCTGAGGCCTTCAGCACATTTCCAATCAATAATTGATCAATTTCTGTATTACCTTGTACTAAAGGACCTGACTGACCTGAATAGAACTGAATATGAATCATGTATATGGGACAAAGCCTACTCCTGAATATATCTTGAACCTGAATAAATAATTAAGTCAATTCTGTATATGAATTCTGGTATAAATTCAGCTGTTTCAATATGCAAAATAACTCTTTCTGCATATTGTGAATCAGTAACTATATTGAGAAGTACTTTAAAGTACCTTATTATCACGAGAATATCTTCTGATTTGTAGTCTGTCATTCCTGATTTATTTGCATCAGCATAGAATTTAGGGGCGCTCCAGTTATTGGTTTTTTAACATGTACATGTGAGGAAGGATCCAATTATCTCTTCTAATGTGTGATTTTTGTGTTCTAATTTTCTGTAAACCTATTTCATAGCCTAGATAATTGATAGAATTCCTCCTTTGTATTTTTTTTTCAGGAGTAATTGTAATTCCAAATTATGTAAAACTTTCTTCACTTCTTCAAACATTCTTTCTAAAGTATCTACATTTGAATCAGATGACAAAATGTCTTCCATGTAATGGCAGACTAAAGATTTAGGAAATTGCTTATGTATTATTTTTAATGGCTG